AATCCCAAATCTCTGATTAGGCATTATAAAATATGGGAAATAGATTCAGGTTATTTAGCGCTTACTTAATGATAACAGCTTCTCAAAGTTGGTTCCCACAAGTTAAATTCATCCATCCACACTTAAGTATATCCATAGATATGTTGACTATACTGGAAAGTAAATGTAAGTTCTGTGTTTTGAGTTCCGCATCTCAGGCAAAGAAAATATATATATATAAGTAGAACCTACCTCATTAATGAGAAACTGCAGTTGGATAACAGCTGCTCCACCTTCATGCTGACAGTAGCACTCAACACCAGGGCGACCAAATCTAGGGGATCTCAGTCAAGGAATGCAAGGTTACGGCAAAAGTTATGCAAGCTTGAACAGGAAAATGCTAAAGTGAAAAATAGTCTACAATCAACTTTAATACAAAAACTATTTGCCAAGCTGATAATGAAATAACACATAGCCTTGGTAAAATACAGTATATGACTTACAGGGACACGTGAAAAAAAGAGTAGGCTCATTTTAATATCAAAATAAATCTGACCATTGCCATAATTTGTCTTGGCTGTATTATTCATTAATACTATGATGGCAAGTCTTCTATTTTGAGGGAAAACAGTTAAATATATTTAAATATTTCTGCTGCCTTTCAGGACAACAGCAAAACTTTTAGGAAACTGTATGGTTTGATAGATTTGGTGTAAAACATAAAATATTTTTAAAAAGATCGCTCACCCAGAATTAAAGATTATTAGGAAAACATGAGGAAAATATAGAAATTATTTGTAAAGAAAAACAAAATCTAGAGTTGAAAATATTTCTGCTGTGTATTTTAGCCACAACACAGTGTACTAAAACTAAGAAAATCTGAAAACTTACTACAGCACCAGAAAAAAAGAATCTCCTGACTAAGGCCACAAATACTGAGTAGAGATCTTTGTTGGGAAATAGTAAAATAGGTGATGGGAATAGAAAAGGTGAAAGTAAAATTACAGTTTAGAGGTGAAATATCTCAAGAGCTTGGCCACATGTACTCCTGGAGATAGGAAAGCTATAACTACCCTACAGCCTTAACTATTTGTATTTATTGAATGAGTATAAATACAGAATGTGCATGGATAAATATTATATTTGGTTTTTATACTGTCAGTTTTAAGCTCATTCGTTTTTTATTTTGTTGTTTACTGAGGGGATCATTGCTGTGTGTTTTTTTTATAATTTCTTTGTAGACAGAAAGGAATACAGAAGAAGACATGTATATTTTTAAAGAAATGACTAAGGGATAAGAGGATTCTTTCTTTATTTTCTTTAGGAGGAAGGAAAGGAAAATGGAAAAGATGCGAAACAGAAAAAAGGACAGAAAAGGAAAGATAAACAAGTTGCCCCTTTTCTTTTTTATGCATACAATTCTCTTGCATCTGTAATTTACATTATTTGAATTGAATTCAGTTCACTTAAAAGTGCTTTATTAATCTCAAAGGGAAATTCAATTTTGCATGAAATCATAAGTTGTTTTTTTAATCCAGTTTTTTTAGGTATTGATAGCTGTCGGCAGAAAGAATCTTCTGTATCGGTCTGTCTTGCAGCAGATCTAGAGAAGCCTCTGCCTGAAGACACTTTGTTGTCATATAAAGATCTTCTGAAGAGGATGCTGTTGTCCATAATATTCACTTTCTGAAGAATTTATCTTTGTGAAATAATCTGCAAAAGGTTCTAGAGGAGTTGGTCCTCTTTATTAACTTGTTAAGTCATTTGCTCTGATGCTGTTACCCTAGCAGATGATGGAGGAAGAAATCTCACTCTCCACACCAGACTTATAGAAGATATGTAGCATCCTAAAATGCTGGGTTAGGATGTAAAGTTTGCTCTGTCCCAGCTTGTAAACGGCTTTACAGTTGTTTCCCCAATCCAGTTTGTTGTCCAATTGAACACCAAGGTATTTATACTCCTCAACCACCTCCACTTCTTCTCCTTTGATGTTTATAGGATTCAACTAGTTCCTGTTTCTTCTGAAATCTACAATTGTCTCCTTTGTTTTGTTGACATTCAGGAGCAGGTAATTATTTTCACATCATGTCACAAAGCAATTCACCAGCTCTCTGTAGTAAGCTTCTCCATCTTTGATGCACCAATGATTGCAGAGTCATCCAAGTATTTCTGCAGATGACGGGACTTTTTCTAGTACTAGAAGTCAGAGGTGTACAGAGTAAACAGGAATGAAGAGAGGACTGCCCCCTGCTGTGCTCCTGTGCTGCTGTCTACTTGATCAGACAGCTGATCCTTCACTCTAACAAACTGTGGTGTGTTTGTCTGGTAGTCTTTGATCCAGGCTATTGTTGATGCCTCCACCTGAGTTCTGGAGTTTCTCACCTAATAAGGTGGGCTGAATTGTGTTAAATGCACTGGAGAAATCAAGATGAGAGTGATGTCTGCCTTGTCTGACTTTTATTGTTCATTTTCAAAGATTTTTTTATTTATTTATCATTACTTCTGTTAGTTTCAAGTTGTTTCTGAGACACTTCTGGGGTTTTCTTTCATTAAACCAAAAAGATTTTCCATGTGTACATCTGTATCACTGTCTTTTTTGGCAATATTTTCTTAGTTTAGGTCGAGGTACCAAAAGCAAAACCTAAAGGAGTAACATTTACCCGGTACTCATTCAGTAAATGCATTTATATGTTGTCAAAATGTAAACTTAAGACAACAATAATACTTCAAAAATTAATAAGGCAAACGATCAAATATTTATCAAATTAATCAGCAAAGAGTAGGCAGACATTATGCTGGAAGTTGTAAAAATCATTGCAGAGAGAAAATGGAGGGGACAGCGCACAGATGCAATTGGAAGAATAACCAATGATAGATACAGAGCAAGGAGAGCAGAGGGAGAGGAGTAGAAGTTTTGGAAGTAAATAGAAGAGGAGATAAAGAGGAGGAGACTGACAGAGAGTAACGAGTTTTACTTTTCAAGGTGGATGAATGGGTAACCTTAGTGATTATATCCATTAGTTCTTCCTAAGAGCACCAGAACTAGGATGGGGTGGCGATTTGTCATGAAGGGCACATGGTGGTGTAGCTATCATGAAGTCAACAATGCTATTGGTCATGAAATATATTCATGCACAGGGGGGAGTGATTCCATGAGGGGTCAGCAAAGCTGCAGAAACTTTTAGAGCTTTATCAACCATAATTTAAGAACATTTATAAAACCAACACTCAAATAAATTGAAAGAATTAATTAAATAATCTTTATTTACATATTATGGGTAAAAAGAGGTCATCAGCTTCCTGAAAACTGTGACTAGACATTTTTAAAGGTAAATTAGCCTTTTCTCCTTTCCCATAAGATTGTATTCCAAAGCTTACAACTCTGCAAAGTGATGACTTGACAATAGAGGATATCTACCAGCTCTAGTGGTTTAAGGCCAATAAGCCTCCAGTATGAATATAGACACCTGAACTGCGAAACCAGTGGGGGCAACCAAGTCATTAATGATCTAATCTTCTATTAATTCACGTGGACAACTAAGCTTAAAAAGTATGACTATTCCTAGGCATCTAAGCTTGAATTAACCTTTAAGAGCCTAAACTGTCTCATTCACAATGTAGAAATCCCTTTTCACTACTGAAGGCATAACCTACACAATAACAGACATGACATGGGAAAGTATTGCGCTTCAATTTCCCAAAAGGGAGCAGGTCAAATGTTACTCATTTCAAATACAGGTGAGGAAAAAGTTGTATGATATTTAACTCCAAGTACCTTTACTCTAAATGCTAGATAATCTACATTTGAGATTTTGTGGAAAATATAAATCATATTATATGAAGTATCTTTTATAACTACAATCTCAAATTATTATAAAAGCAAAAGATATGGTTCATGGGTTTATTTGTTGGAACTGAGGTTAGTGGCTTTTTAAAGAAATCTTGCCAAAAAATAATGAGTTATTTAGGCATAGCTTTTACAGAACAATGTAAATTGTGGAAGACAACAGTAAAGTTGTCTTCCACAATTTACATTGAACCTGGAACTTAATAAGAACCTGGAACTTAAAAAAAACAATGAAAAACATAACTGTGTTCCTGTGAGATATGCCAGTTTCTGTACTTTGTGACAATCTAGTTACTATAAGCAATACAGACCAATAATATTAGAGACTTGTGTCCATTAGAGACTTTTGTCCATATACCCTTCTCGGAGGCTGTCTCAGGACCAGGACCTGCTCATGGTCCCTCGTACTCGTTCCATGACCACGGGAGATTGCTCCTTTCAGGCGGTCACGCTGGCGCTCTAGAATGATCTTCCGCTTTCCTTGTGCTTACTTGATTATGTTGATGCTTTTAAGTTTTATTTAAATGATGCTGTAGCTGTTTAAAAAAATTGTTTAAGAAAGCATTTTAATTCTGGTAGATAAATGGTTGTTTTATGACCATGTCTTTTATGACTGCAAATGTATTTTAATTTTGTGAAGCACTTTGTGATCTCTATGTCTGTGAAATGAGCTATATAAATAATGTTACACATTTACGTACTTACTATAAAGTGAAAATGTATACAGTAGTTCATGTATTCAGACGTTAAAAAAGGCAGGCAAACTGGTAGGGGTTGAACTACTACGTATATGTATGTAAACAAACTATCACAACTAAAAAAAACCCTGTTCTACTGCAGCTATGGCCATGTTAAAACACCAAGTAACCAAATTATTCTCTGAGGTGAGAGTTGGGGAAAATTGCCTACTGATGGTGGTCAGAGGGCCCGGTGGCGCCAGTGTATGGCAGCTTTGCTTCTGTCAGTAAGCCCCAGGGCAGCTGTGGCCACATTTTAGCTTGCCACCATCAGTGTGTGAGTGAATGTGTGAATAACTGAATGTAGTGTAAACCACTTTGGTCAAGTTTCCTGACTTGAAAGAAAAAAAAAAAAGCGCTATGTTGCACTTGTTTTCTTGCAACAATCAAACCAGCATACCTTATTAGATTTTTTTTTAATCAAAACAGTTCAAATGTTTCTAATACTTTACTGACTTAAAGCTCCAAGGAACAGCTACAGCATCACTCTTTACCTCACACAACTATAAAAAACTGTTAACCACCTTCACATTTTTGTTATGCAGCAAAAAAGGAAGTTATCTTTTAAAGGAGCTTGTAATGACAGAAAGTCCTCGCTATCCTATAAATACAAACCTTCTTCCCCATGACAAGATAACTGCATCAAAAGTTTTCTGACTATTACAGCCTACCAGCATGCACCAAATCACTGTAACCCCCTGCGGATGATACGATAGAATCCAGAGGTTTTCTCCGTTTGACCTAGCACAC